TGGATTTTCCACACACTATTTTTCATCCGATTTGAAATGTGATTATTACGGCATGGCTCTATGATGGTAATCATAAACAACCCTGGATGAAAATGTAATTCGACTTGGAAAGCTTTTCATTACATCACTGATCCAAATGACTGATTTGGTTGGACTCCAGATGAATCATGTTATCTACCTTCTCCAGAGTTTGGGGGAGACTTGCTGCGGCTGGACATGCTGGGAGGTGGGAGCTGGTGCGTTGGTCTGGCCATGGGCTCCATCCATTTCATCCCCACGCTCCTCCTGAGCGGTTAGTGGAAAGCATGGTCAGGATCAGCCACAGGGCAGCCTCAGTGATGTGCTACTGGACATTGAATGGCAACCGGACAATATCTGAGGATTGGACAGTTGGGAAGAGGTAAATTATAAATTAATTTCTGCACAGTGAAAGTCCACAGTGCCTCTTTGAAGGCTCAAAATAAGTACAGCCATTTAATGCTTAAAAAAGGAACACATGGCCTACATCCTCACATGCTCACAAATAAAAACCCAGCTTCATCACTAATCTTTTCCCGTATTATATAAAAAACGTCAAGTGGCAGTAAACACACAAAGGCCCAACTGGGGACACGAGTTGGAAATTAGCAATAGCTATGTACTCTTTATGCAGCACATCAGTTTCATGCTTTGTATTGAAACAAATATTAAATTGCATTGTCCCTATTAAATAAAAAAATTCAATTCAACAGCAGACAAACCCTTATTTACAATTATTATCATTTTCATGCCAGAAACAGTTCATACTGTTGTTACGTCTTTACTTTTGCCTCCTCAGCAGTCTGCTCGTGACCAGCAGACATGCTACAGCAAGAATACAACTTCACTGTTTTTTTCTCTCAGAGAAAGATCACAAGCAGTATAATTTTGACAAACAACAATTACAGAAAAAAAATAAAAATTTGCATCACTTATAGATTGGTAGATTAAATCTGTTTTGGAGTTTGCTTCATCTCTGATTGAAAGAAAAACACAAGAAAGCAAGGAGCAAAAAAGTACAAATACACTGATTTTTATTTACAGCTTTTTATCCCTACTTGTCTTTAATGGAATCTTGCATGGGGCTCTAACTTTTATATTGTAGAGTTCAACTTTCATCCAGAGCATTTTATTTTCTTCTTATTTCAATGCAAAAATGTCTTTGTTAATGTGGTGCACATTGACTAGTGCTGCATTAGACAATTACAGCAGTGTAATCCTGATCTGATGCTGCTCCAGTTTGTTTACATGTGTGTTTTTTCATATGTAGAAAGATTAACAAGTTTTTAAATAAAAATCTGCAATAGGGAAAAGATATTGAGCATCAACAGCATCTTGTCTTTTCGACACTAAATAAACATTAAAGACAAACATACAACACAACATACATGTTAACCAGAATAACAACCCATTACCACCACCAAAACAAGAATTCAAAGTAACCTGAAGCCTGTGAAACACAGTGACATGTGCAAGCACTACACATCAGCTTTTTTTTAATCCTCATGTGATGCTGTTCTTGTTTGCTACATAGGGGAGTATTTTTTTTTTTAAACAAGGTCATTATATCACAATAACCTCTGCATAAATACTCCGACGTTTTTATTATGCATCATTATATTCCAAGCCATTTTCTGTGTCAGTGCCCACATGTGTTTATCTGCACCAACCTTACACCATGTGATGCTCGTATAGGCCTTTATACAGTCAACATAAGCGCCCATCTTTGCAGCAGGGTTCACAAAAGGGACACAAATAAGGTAGAGGACGTGGTTTTATGACCACCCTGTGTTTTTTCTGCGTTCAAAAAAAAAAAAAAAATCCCCCTAAAAGCTTCGACGAGCGCTCTCCCACTGTACCACCATGCTGCAGCCTCACAGTGAACTGTGCATGGGAACAGCGCCCGGTCAGCTACAGTAGCATAAATATACCGCAACTTGCATTCACGCATGGACAAAACAAGTGCTCTGCCGACTCACCTTAAAAGGGAAGCGGATACAAGCCCGCTCGCCTCCAATGTAGGCGCAGGGCAGTCCAGCTGTCAACCGCGCTAAATCCCAACACTCCTCTCCGAATCCTGCGAGCAAAAACCGGCTACAAAGGACTGCAGATATGTCCAGACGCATACATCGCACTGTGTGCCATAGCGCTGCGCTCCTACAATCCCTCCGACACGCACACAGGCGGCGACACGAGACTGTGTTTGCTGCTACACAAGCCGGTCTGGACAGTGATAATTTGGTGAAAATTCGTCCCCTTTCTGTACGATCGGGGGCCAGTGGTGGCCTGTGCCAGAATGTCCGAGTCGGATTAGTGATGTTGTGAGACTTGAGAGGTCAAACTCCGCCCCTAGTGTCGCCTCAAGTGCACTGCTGCTGTATAGCGATCTTCAATCCCTGCATGGCAAACTGTGTGCTGGCGGAAGGTCAGACTTCCAACTTGTTATGATGATGAGAGAAGACGTCACATGACTGCACTGGTTTCATAATCATGCAGCACTGAGGGGACTAAACCCTGCTTTTTTTTTTCTTTTCCTTTTTGTGTGTGTGCTCCCACTTAAATGTCAGACTACACAACAAAATACTGTTTTTAGGCTATTTTGAATAAAGTAAAATACCAAATGTGTAAATATGTCACAATTACCTGAACAAGGAGTTGTCCTGCCTTCATCCTCTTAACAATTTATTTTACTTCCTTTTCTTTCTTTTTTTTCATCAAATAGCATTACAAATATAACAAATCAGTCATTTGTATCCATGTGACTCGCATGCTGCAGTAAACCGGACATGGGATCACAAAAAAATGGGGCAGATGGAGGGCCTGGAAGGGGAAAGCCTGCAGAGCAGAGCAGGTTTTTAAGTGATAACAGGACAACTAAAATGGGCTGATGCTTGGTGCCCACAAGCCTCAGAGTCAGCAAAAATGTCACTCAGTTATTGGTGTTCCTCTAAAAATAGGCTTGAGGGAATTCAGTCCAAAAATAAAAATAAAAATTGTGTGTGTGTGTGTGTGTGTGTGTTACGTAGCTTCAACAAAGAAAATGCCTAAATCCACCAGAAAACCTGAAGTAGATTTTCACATTCCTTAATCAAATACAGGATCACATGTATTTATGACGCAGCAAACCTAACACAATATTGAGCAAGTGTTCATCAGCTGCTACTGTTCTCACTTTATTATACATTTTTTAGTGTGTGTGTCTGTGTGTGTGTGTGTGTGTGCTAGGCTGTGAAAAACAGTGTAATTCACTCCGTATGAGTTGTTACACTGTGAAGTCATCCTCAGTGAATTTGAGTCCAAGAATGAAATCTGTTTGATAATATTAACCCACACCATCGCACAATAACTGAATAACATTTTCAATGATACCCAGTAAATGTGACTGCATGAATTGTTCCCTACAACTGATATTCTCAATCTTTCATCTGCCATGGTCCATGTGCCATCTATTGATGGACATATGTGTATAAATACAGTGTAAGTCTGTATAGCCTGTGTCTGATCCTGTCTTGGTGCCTGAATAGCCTAAAACCTCTCTGGAGACATATGAAGCATTTGAAGTATTATTTCTTTATTTTAAAAAAAATAGCCTGAAAAGAAAAAAAGTCTTACATTTCTCTCTCTGAATGTTGCACAACTAACTTTTGTTCAGATGAGAACTCAACGGTTCCTTAGGTTCTTTTTTGGATATTATTTTTTTTCTCTGTTTTTTTCTTTCTGTTTTTCAGACTCCAGTGTGTAGTACTTCAAACTTCCTGAAATATTTACTTAGACTCCCAGCAGCTACTTTAAATCTCCACTTCTTACAAACTCAAATCCGTTCATATAATAGTAGTTTGGTTTGGTAGTTTTGGTTTAAAGTTTTATGATTCTCAAGGTTCAAAAACCGAAATCCAATACGGTTATGTGCTTCCCAACCGTGACATTGAAACATCTGCTTTACTGTGTCACCAATTATAATTTATAGTTAAAACAAGTGGGCAGCCCTTTCAACCAATGTTTATTTTCTTCAAATTATGTTTCTAATAGTTCATCTTCCAAGCAGCGGATGTGGGTCAAGAAACAGAAATAGCTTTTCACTTCATGGATTGCTCACATAACATGCTGTCATGACTTGTGACCAAGATGTACATTTTTTAAATAACCGAGGTCTGGGAGAAATGATACCATTTATAAACTCATGAGTTCCCACCATGCAGCCTTAAATTTCATCTTACCACAAGTTTCTCTCCTATAGCGCCACCTCTCTCTGTCTTCCAGGTGTCTGATAGTCGTGCATCATGCTTCTGAATGTGCACTGGCATTCAGTAGAGATAAATCATGTGCAATTAGGTGAAGAACTAAAAATACAAAACACATAATCTACACATGTGTATTAGAAGGCGATGTTATTAGACTGTCTTAGAAACGAAATGCATCAAAAACAGTGCAGGAAATAAATCTCAGAACTTCAATGTCTCCCTCTTCAGAAACACTGAGCTCAGTATCACTCACAGATAATAAGCATCATTCTCAATCATGTAGTCATATTTATTGATTGGTCAGATGAGTTTTAAGTTTGTTTGTTAAGCATAAAGAGCAAATGCACATTTTTTTCATCTGGACATGCTTTTTCCAATCTTTCCTAGATTTTTGTGACTTTTGGATGATTAGATATTTCCCAGTTGCAATGCAAACATATTTCTCAGTCTTCATCAGCCAAAGAAAATCTATTGTAAAGCTACAGAGCCCTCACTGTCATTGTATTTACTCATATTTCTAAATATTTGAATATTTTTATATATTTTAAGTACTGACTTTTCTATTAATTTCTTTATTTTATTATTATTATTATTTAATCTTTAGCATTATTTGCTTTAACATGAAGTTATTTTCCATTTAAGATCTTCATTTTTTTTGTCATCCTCAGAATAATGTATAATATACCAATAATTACTTAATATATAACTTCCTGTATCTTCAAGTTTTGAGCCATCCATTAATCAGTTTTATTCTTTATTTACATTACATATTCATCAATTCATTTAAACATTAATACAATGTACAGGTTTGCTTTCACTTTCAGTGGACACTCTGAGGCTTCGATCTTTTCTTTCCCTATTTACATGATCTTCATGATACAGTTTATTCTAATGTACAGTTACACTAGTCAACAAATGCATTAAAGAGATTCTACTGGTAAGAAACACGACTGTGTTGTGTATTGCCTTGTTTGTGTTGTTATTATAAAGGGGGATAACATACTACAGTTGACAGCATGTTGCCAGGTTTCATACAGTAAGACCATCTACAGGTCATCAGACTCTGGGACTTGAATGGGCTCCAGGGTAATGATGGGGAGGATCAGATGGGTGCCCTCAGATATCCATCCCATGGCTGTCCTGTTGAAGGTAGGACGCTTTACCCCCGGCTCCTGCAGCTCAGGGTAACTGGGAGGGTTCAAGTCCACCTCAGGGAGCTTGAATGTGATTCCTCTGGGAGTTTTGTCGAAGCCACCGTAAGGAGTGGCCACCCTGAAATGACATCAGGAGTGAACGATACTCTTTGTCATGCTCTTTTCTTATTGACTTAAATGTAGATTTCTCACCTGTTGAAGCATTTGTACTCAGGTAGTTCTGCTCGTGGGTCTAGTGCTGGCATTGCCAGTTTGATAGTTTCAGCAAGGTCAGGGTCGCTTAGGATAGCCTGCTCCCACGGGGAGTGATAGGACTTAGGCATAGCTGAGGCGTTGTCTGCAGTGTTGTCTGTCAAAGAGCAAAAAGACGAGTCACACAATAGAAACATATATTTTTTCACTATTAGCTCATATAGAGCAACAGAAGGAACGGACAGTTTGGTTTGCTCCTACAGGATAATGTTGAGCCTTTTTTTTTTGTAGGCTTTAGAGTGGAAAGGATTATGAATAGAGACTGTGCTTAGAGAACACTCACAGGCAGACTGAGATGTCCATCATTGGGATCTGAGGTCTTAAAATAGCACATAGTTGTAGTGTGCACTCATCATATAATGTGTCCACATGCGATGATACCCTACTGGAGCATTTTAGAATAAGCACAGGGCTCTGTCGGCTACTCAGGTATAATAAGATATAAAAAAACAAACATTTAAAGCTTCCAAGGTTGTATAAATAATCATTGCAACAAAATGGCTTCTGTCTAACTAAGTTGTTACAAGAGAACACCAGCTGTTGGGACTCTATGATACCAGTTGTCATTATTATGACAGCGTTATGTAACCACGCAGTACATAACAGCTTCATTTGACCGTGGCAGAACGATATAGAGTGGTCAAATGTATTTTCTATAACCATTTTTTATTATGTGGAAATCAGGACTAATGTTGAAAATATTCCTGCTGCAATGTGGATTCAGCAAACCAATAAACAGCCTCACAGACTGAACACAGTGGTTACCTGAAGCCGTGATATCTGGATTTGCGGTATTTTCATCAGCTGGACCATCCACTGTGATTTCCACAGTGTGAGCATTCCCAGCTGAAATGTCGTTCTTAGAAAAAAAACAAGAAAAAAAAAACAAGGGACGGTTGAGTTAGGTTGTGAATTGTTGTGCAGCACACGAAGTTGGCTCATCTTCTTTGTTTCTGCTGTTGCATTTCTTACAGTCAGATAGATACACACACACAAACACTGGTAACGACATTGCACACACACACAAACACACAGACACACATCATCAGGCACTGATAAACAAGAGGACAGCTCTTCACCAAGTGCACGAGCAGCCTCCTGGCAGATTTGGCTGCATGCAGCACATGTCTTTGCTATCGTGCATGTGTTGTGGCCCATTTATTTTTAAAAGCTTGTGTCTGATAAATATGCTTGATGAGCAACACACACATTTTTGAGCTGTTGTGCAGTACGCACTAAAGCCAGAGCTCATGATTGTTCCACTCAATAGTGTGCAAGTAGATAAAATTAAGACATCCACCTGTCAGTTGGTGAAATACACAGAGTGATTAAACTACACATTTAGGTCTTCTTACATTTAGCAGTGCGTTTGCCTCGTTCTGGATACTTTCAAATGTATATTTTTCAGATCTCCTCTGGCGCATTTTGAAAAGCCGGGACCCTCTGTTGGATAGCAATGATAACTCCTCCAACATTATGTCTTTAGGAGTGCTGTGCTTCTTTCCCAGATCCATGACGTCCCCTGCCAGAGAAGGAATTTGAGAAAAGAAAAGAAAATTGCAGATATAAAATAGGGTTTTAATTGTTGTAAGCCACAATATGGTGAAATAACGGTATTTAAAGTCAAACTGAAACATGTCATGCTGGCCTAAATGTGCCATTTAGTTGAGATTAATTTACTAAAAAGGATTTAAAAAACAAAAGGATAATTTGACACTGATGTGGGAACAGTGGAAAACCCTCATGAAGCATTTTAACACCAAACCTTAGGTCATCATATGAAGGATCTAAAACCAAAAGTCCTGTTTTTCCAGCATTTAATACAGTTCCATGGTTTCTAAAGACAATGTTGTAGGATGCCAAAGTCAAAATGACTTAAATATGAAACACTAATAAGTAAGAAGTAACCTCCTCACCCGCAGACGCGTGTAATGGAACAGGTGATGTTACATTTAGTCAAAAATAAACTTTGTGGAATAAAATTATCACAGTCTAATTTAGGGTCGGGGGAATAATAGCAACAGTTCGTTTTTGACACCCCAGCTCCCCCCCCCTCCAGTGGGTTTATCCAGCCCTGGTTTTAGAGCCTCATAGAGCTGGATCATAAATACACACAGAAATGTCCCCAGATATAATCCTCTGCCGACAAGCTTTAAAGGGAGGGTGAATAAAACACATAAAAGGAATCACTTAATTCACATTTTCCATTTTCTAAGCCCCGTCGTTTTAAAATGAGTTATCATAGTACTTGAATGAGTTTTTGGATGCACGGGATGCTTCCTCATCCACCACTACAGACGGTATGTACCCCAGCTGTCACAGACCATCACATAACAAACAGCTACACAGTTGGCCCTCACAACTTCCCTCCCCTCTCCAGAAATAGACTTTTGAAAAGGACAACGACAAAGGATCAGCCACCATAGGTACTAAATCATCCCATTAGCTTTTTTTATATGAAGGAGCTGGAGAAAAGCCCTGACATTTTGAACCCAGATCAGAATGGATATTGTCTTGCAGCAGTGAGCCTCGAATCTAAAAGCATACCATTGGTACCATGGACCTCTCGGCAAATAGCTGCTGCATGCTTCTTCTTCTCTCCAGTTGGCATTGTACAGAATTGTGACATTGTGGCTTTGGCAATGTTGGCAGAAGTCAGGAGTACTGAAAACACATACAGGACACAGGATGTAGTTTTTTCTGCCCAAGTCATGAGAAAGGAGTCTTAGTCATAATGCTGTGACCCCGTAGAACAGTGCTCGCCCAAAGGTTTTCTTTTTAGTGTACATGTCTAGCATCATCTTTGATAAGTTCTCACAGAAATGATCCTGAGTCTGTAATGTTCCAAATATAACACACAGACAATATTAAAAAGCAACATGTCATGAATGAAACTCAGGACACACAGAGTGACTTTCTAATATAAACGTATAGCCCCATTCTTTTCTGTTACATCAAATATTAGTATTAAATAAACACACGTTTGAGTCCATGAAGTGTGCAGTATCTCCCAATTCCTGCCAGCATTTAAAGCTAGCCTCTTAAATAAATCTGCCATATCAGTGTTTGCCATGTTACTGTAATCTCTGCAGAGGTTACAATCGTCAGATTACAATATATTACATAATCCCAAAGCCCCATTGTAGCGACATCAGTCCCACACACGTAATTCTTAAATCTGCCCTCGTCGCTGGATCCATTTCTTAGTATGTGAGTAAATGTAAGTGGAATCTCTGCTTAATGCTGTCACAAAACAAATCGCCTTTGTTCAATTTACGAGGGAACATTGTGTTTCACGTCTATATATGCAAAGCTACCAGACAACCTTTATGCAAAGCTGTCCAGCTGTATACAAAGAAAGTGTCCAAAATAACTGTCTGGCATTAGCAGTAGCTGCTGCAATCACATATGCTTCGTTTTTTCTTTATTGTCAAATGCTGACCATGATGCTGGATAGTACAGCTATAGACATACTTATTAAACAAATCTTACGTTTTCAATAACTCACTTTTGATACATTTAAAAGTCAATTTTTCTAATTGAACCATATTGAACTTGTTTAACGTTCAAACCAAACAGTGAGCAAAACAATATCATTCTGTGGGAACACAATAATTAATCGATGTTACTTTGAAACTGTTTTATTTTGACCCCAGTACAGCGACCATCTCAAACCTTATCATGTATCTTCAATATCATTTAAATAAACGACATGTTTAGAGAAATCCCCCTTGTTGATGCTCGTCCGTACCTGTGATGGTTTCCCTGGTGTGCGACCTGTATCCTTGAAGAACAAGACACACGGAGGCTCAGGGGTCAACCTACAGAAGGTAGTTTGATCTTCCCTGATCTTCACACTCGCGGACACTAAAGCAAACTGTGAGTGTGTCTCTGTGTCTGTTGTGAATGGAATGCAGCTTACATCAATAGGCTAAATTTAACCTGTCAAACACTCAAAACCACTCTCTAACACCATGGGGCCAGGATAGAGAGAGAGAGAGAGAGAGAGAGAGAGAGAGAGAGAGAGAGAGAGAGAAAGAGAAAGAGAAAGGGGAGAGGATGGACAACACACACACATGATATTTGTGATGTTCTTTGAGGCAAGGACTCCCCTCCAGAGACATGTTTCCTTCCTCGTGACGGCATGTCTCTGCGAGTTGACGTAACCTCGGAGGCTTTAAGTTAGGGAGGAGGTTAACGCTTCGGCACAGCTGCTCCTCGTGTACTCTTCTCTTCAAACACAGTTGTGTTATTGTTATTAAGTGTCATTAAAGACTTTGGATAATGATATACAGATTGGGGTGCTGGTTTTGCTTTGAGGTTAGAGAGTGTTTCCCTAAAGATAAGGCTCAATCCTCGTGGCATGGGCCCCGGGTTCGACTCCTGTGCATATCATCCCTGCTATATCTTTCTCTCTTTTTTCTTTGACTCTCTTCACTGTTTTATCTACTGTGAAGTCAAAGGCCAACAAAATATGTTTTTATAAAATATATGTACACAAATCTGTGAGGGGGCGGGGTTAAAGGACAGTGTGGTCTCATTGCTGAGATGGTGGGCAGCCAAAAATATTTTAATACAGCAGCATCAAGGTCATTACCCTGGCAGCCAAAGGTGTCGTTATACATACTGAACATTTAATCTCTTGTAATAAAATAAACTGTTGAAACATGAGAGAGAGAGGTGTCTGACGTCATCTTAAAGAAACAAACGAGAAGATCTTCATTTATGTTGTTTTTGGACCTCGACCGTTGTAACTCGCGATGCATGCAGAGGTGAAAACACTACAGCGGTTTTTAGATAAATAATACGTTTCTGCTGATTTAACTCTGATCATCCTCTCTGAAGGAATGAACCACTGCAGGGAAATTAAAAACTTGTCACTGTGTCCTGCCAAGGTATACGTTTCCACTGATATACAGTTTGTAAACTCTTTTGAAAGGAAGCCAAAGGCTAAATCAGCATTGAGTAGCCTTGTTTAAGAGAATGAACAAACAGATTTGATTAATTAAAAAAATAAAATAAAGAAATCTTTGGATTATTACCTTAAAGAATTGTGGACATAGCACTGGGCGCCAGTAGCTTAGTGGTTAGCACACGTGCACCATGTAAGGAGGCTATAGTCCTCCAAGTGGGCAGCTCGGGTTCATATCCGACCTGTCTTTCTCTGTCCCTGATTTCTGACTATCCACTGTCCTGTCTGTAAAATATAAAATAAAAAGCCCCAAAATAAATATGTTGTGGACATTAAAATTTTGCATTGAACTAAAACTCTAAGTGGGAGCAAAAAACAACAACAATTTGAATACTTTTTTAAAAGGTTTTTTAATGTATTTTACTTTGTCAGCTAGGGTTTTAAAAGTGGAAAAAAACATAATACAAATGAAAAACGTGGGAAAAAGTAGCCTGAGGCAACAAACATAGCGACACTTGTCATTTTGGAACATTGACACAGAAACGTTGGTTCTGTTTGCACTTGAAAACCACACAGTGCATGAAATCAAAGTTTGGATACTGATAAATGAATGCATGCAACATTTATTCCCCTTGACTTAGAAATAATTACGCTCAAATCACATCACATATCATATCTATTTCATTCCGACAAGTAGGTCTAGAGACCAAATTGTGATGGTTGCCATTTTACTATTTTCCTTAGAGGTGCTGTTCAGCTTCCTTTCAGCTGATGGAAAAATGTGATTTGTCGGACGTGAACACATTAACAGAAATGTTCATTCTTTGACTATACATGATATCACCTCTGCAATATTAGTAAGAGCAAAATAAGTATCAGTTATGCTTACTGAATGACATATTGAGAAGTGAGAGTTTTAACTTCAAGACAGAAAAAGTGACAAAAAAGTTAAAGCTACAGAAAAGATTCATGCTGAAAAGCCACACTCAGGCTTTTCTTAAAGTGCCTTTTTCTCAACAAATACTTAAAACAAACTATATCAAAATAACCAGCATTGCACCACTTCACTTTAAATAAAAAATCAATCTGCCAAACACTTCTTGACACTTACATTTTAGCCCTTGTAACACTTTCTTAACATGTTTAACTTTTCCAGAGGGACAAAAACTGCATCACACTGTCAAATTGTAAAACATAACTTAAATATTCTTCTATTAGCAAAGACTATACTTAACAGGGTAACATCTCAACTGCAACACTGCACAAAAAGCTATGATAAGTTGTTCAGCCTTTTGAACTGAGTGACCAATGAGACCTATCGCTCCCATCAACAACAAAAACAATTCAAAACAAACATGTTAAATTGTCTTAATATGTCATCATCTCAGACCAATAAGATAACTCTGCTCAAACACATTTCCACAACCTTTATGTGTCTCTTTTGTTCAGTTTACTTTGCATGATCCTCCACATCAGATTTCATTACTGCTGATATGACTGTATTTGTTTTTATCTGATGTACCTCATGTTAGTGATAGTGGTCAGACACTATGGAGATTGGTGGTACTGTACTGCGCTAGGTAGGGCAGTTCTATCATTGCCCCATGTATCCAATACTGGCCCTGCTGGTAGGCCTCAGAGGCTGAGCAGGTCTGAAGGGAGGCCCATAGAAGGCTGGTTTCTCAGGTGAAAATGTCCTGCTCATGGACGGTGCCTGAAAAGCTGGGGCTGCATGATAATGACCCCTACTGACAGCTGCAGGATCAAGAGACACCCTGCGCTTCCATTCATCTGGAGGCTCTGGCAGAGAACTATGCTGCCCTGCAGCTTTGACATTAGAGGCAACCAATGACGGCAGGCTCTGAAACAGAAAGGCCTCATCCACTGAGCCCAAGGGGCTTCTGGATGCTGCCTCCCACGGTGACAGCGGCTTGCAGACTCTTTCCTGAAAGGATGTTTGCTTCTGTGTTGATAAATATGAAGATTGGACTCCAGATGTGTTCCCAGGTGACAGAAATCTGGGAGGCTGCAACAAATTCATTTGCCTGGGCAGGCTCAGAGAGTGGCTTCGACCAAATCCCTGAAAGAGAAGCACATATTGGTTGACTGGTGTTGATGACTTAGCTGCAGACTTTGCTGCCACCATCTGGAACCCAAGACAACAAACGTCATATTGAACTTACTTATCAAGTCTGTGTAAATAGTAAATAAGAATGGTTTTAGTTTTATTTCTGAAATAACTTTATTTTTTCAGATTTGTAGGTCAACTAGAGAGTTGAGTTTTCTTATAAAACCTAGAAAAGATTTGAGTGATGTGAAGAAAATATAAAAGTTAGAAAACAACTTTTATATTTACTTCATATCAGTGAAGCCCTAACCCTTCTCATGTTCAACATATAAATGTTAGATCTAGTTTTTAATACTTAAACCATCATTTGATACATTATTTTAAACAACACTTAAGAACTTACCTGCTGTTGGTTCAAGTAACTTAAATAAGTACAGTGGCTATGTGACAACAAAAAAGGAACATATATAAATCATTCAACATTGTTTGGAACTATATCTTTAAAATACTTTTGTACCATCTGTTTAAAGGGGTAATCCACTTTTATAATTGGATATTTCAAAAGCATTTAGAATCAGAAATACTTTTTTAATGCCAGGGGGAGCTTTAACTTCTAAAACTACAAAGAAATGTGGCTGTAAGAAAATGAATAAATTCTTATTTCTTAGGGTTTTTTCATAAATGGTTATTTTATTATTACTCTAAAGAAGCTGTTCTTGGTGTAGAGCATGAAAAACTATAATCAGTCTTGGGCTTTGCAAACATTCAAACATTTATGACATATAATGATAATAATGATAATTTAATATGACATTATTTTTTCAACCACAAACCAGTTTGAATTTCTTCATATAATAAACAAAATTTCTGTCAATGCTAGCTTTCAACTTCTTCAAGTGAGAAGTATTTGATGGTCTTGGGCTTTTCTTTTACACGTAGCTTCTCTGACTCTGTTATGTTGTTGTCAAGGCTAATATAGGTTTTTGACACAGTGAGTAAGTCATGCATATTAGGAGCTATTAAATATGCTTACAACTTGTGCAATATAAGGCCTGTCTTTTAAGGAAGTAAAGAAAAGCTAATTCTATAAATACAGTTGAATTTTTTTTTTGCTGAAATACTTGATACTGTGAAAAAAATAATCTTTTAGATGGATTTCCCCTTTTGAACAGAGAGTCGGTGTCGTCCTTTATTAAGAGAACTGGGAGCCAAGATCATAGTTCCAAACTTTTCACATTTCAATTTAAAGATGCACGGAGTAAATACTGATAAAACAAATTACGTGAACAGAAGCAGGACACATCAGTGTGGACAAGGTTGTGAGTGACACTAATGACCTTCAGCAAAGAGCCATTTGACTTTTATATCAGGAAAACGTTACGCCCAATAAAGTATTGAATCTTAAAGAAATGATTTTGCTGAAAGAACAGTTAAAGTGAATTCTTAGTTAAAGTGTGAGGTAGTGAAAAAGATAAAGGAGGAAATGTAGGTGATCACAAAAAGTGATATAACTGTAGTGCAGGAAAACAAAGTAGAAGCTCGTGACACAGATAAAAAGAACACAAACAGAAGGAAAGAGAAACTTTAATAGCATGATTGTGAAGAAGTGCAATAAACAGTGATATGTTTCAAAGACAGAGACAAACAAGACAATCGTTTCCTATATCAATTTAGTTTCCTCTGTAATAGCAGTACTGTTAAACATCTCTATGACAACTTGTTCATGTTTTACATCAAGGATGAGGATACACAATGTCTGATGACTTCACTGATAGTTCAATAACTGGCCGTAACTGACAATTGCAGAATATATAAAAGACACGTAAAGTAATCAGGACTAATGATCACAACATATTTGAATCTTTTATCCGTTGTGATGCCATAAAAGTTTGGAATGAGACAGAAGGAATTGCAAATTGTATGCATCCAAAAAAAGAAGACGTGCATAGACAGTTTATCTTCAGACATACTTAATGATTCAATCATTTCAGTATATATGATTGCAAAAGTGAGTTATTGTTATCCCAGTATATTTTGAGTTTAAATTCAAATGAAGTAATAAATCAATAAAAGGTTCTGTTGTGTGTGGGTTTGTTTTTTTTTTTTGTTTTTTTTAGTGTCAATTGTGACTACAAAAAGATACAAATGCATGCCATGCATTGTATTTCTAACAAAAGAAAAACAACTGAAGAAAGAAAAACATCTCACACCTGAGACCTTTGTTAGACAAGGCCCCTCTTCACACAGTATTGCACATGTAAAAGCACTTCCTGAGAATCACTCTAAATCATTTAATCTCACATTTTCTTCAAAACACACATACACCACCAAGTTTAAAGAAAATGATATTATATGATGAGCTATTTGCCTAATTTTTTTTATAGTCAATTATTTTACAATTTAAAACTTGCATTGGTAGGCTTGCTTCCAATCTTCTTTTCGTGCATGTCCTGACATCTGCATACTGTAAAAGATTTGGGATTAAGCCTACATTGAGACAGTGCAACATCAATATTTCAATCATTTTCACTGGTAGAATGAGACGTTATATTTGTGACTAAGTTCCAGATGTAATAATATAATGTAAATTCTATGTCTCATTTTTTATTTAACCCAGGCATGACATTAAACAGTAAAGGATCTAATGGAGCATAGCAACAGGCTTCCACTGAGTGCATGCCACCACTGGCTTCTTAGCAGAGAACTTTGGCCGAGGTGCCATTTGACGTACGCCTCTAGCAATAAGAGATGCAGGAGAAAAGGCTGCAGCTATGCTGTCACCAACAGATGACTGCTGGGAGGATGCGTTTGCAGGTCTGGGAGTAGGTGCTTGCTGGCTGGTTATGTGATGGGCTGTGACAGTGTGCTTTTCATCCACATGCTCGCCAATTGAAAGAGGCTCAGCTGATCTTGTGGGTCTGCGGGCAGAATAATTTGGGGAACTTACCGATACAGGAGACTTTGCGGGGACCTCTGCCTTGCTTTGAACAACAAGCTCAGGGCCTTTATGTGGAGACTGAGAAGAGGCAGCTCTCTGTTTACGTCTCATGATAGCCTCAAACTTTGATGCTTGGGTAGGTTTGGGGCTGGGGCTGGGGCTGGGGCCGGGGCTGGGGCCGGGGCCGGGGCCGGGGCTGGGGCTATTGGCCTCTGGGACTGCATCATACTTGAACAGTGATGAGTCCAACTGATAAGGCTGATGCTTCATGATATCTAAGGCATTGAGGTGCTTTGGGGGTGCTTTAGGTTTCTCTTTGGTCTTAGGCTTGATTTTGGGGCTTGTGGAAGGGGGTTGCTTGGCTGCTGAAGGAGGATAGAAAGGAGAAAGAAGGGGATTGTAAGATAAAGGAGGTGGGGCACGAACATTGGAAGAATACCTCCAATAGTTGGGGAGAGAGGAGGTTGGGGAGCGGGCTCTTGTGTTGTTAACTTGAACTGTTTCAGAATCAACAACAAACTTCTCCATACGGGATTGTCTTTTGGCAAACAATTCTGCCCCTTTTCCCTTCTTAGTTGGACCATCACCAGCCCGATTTATTCCTCCGACTTTGACTTGGCTCTTTTGAGAAGCCTGTGATGCTTTTGATTCATAGACATGTGACAATCCTGCTTGTGGTGGACAGGAGGCTACTGATTGTGGAGCACTGTCTGACTTATTCCTCAAGGGTGACGCTTCATGTGGGCTGTAAGTAGGGCTGCGAGTGTTCATACTCACAGGGGATCGAGGCGATCGTTGACTCCAGCTATTTGCGGTTGGCTGAAGATGAAGCTGAGAAGAGGAGTTGACCGGACCCCAGGCACTGGCAGGTGTTTGAAGTGTTTGATCCGGTGCCCAGCTGTTGGCCATCTGTTGTGACTGAGCCCAATTTTGCTGCTCTAAGTAATGCTGACTATGAGGCCCAGCAGGGCTTTGAGAGGGTTGTAAAACGGGACTTCTTGGTGGAATATTAGGTTCACAAGAAGGACTTCTTCTCATCCAAGGTTGAGAGGTTGGGTTGATCGTAGGTTTGGGGGCAACTGGAGGGGGATTCTTGAGTTTTACTGTTTTTGGTTGCATGAAGTTACAAGCTTCAGCACCTAGACTAAAGAAGTCCTCTTCTGGCTCAATATAAGACTTCCTTTCCCCTTTGCTGTAATGCTGAAGACTTGATTCGTGCTGCAGCGTTGCTAGTTGTTTGTTAGAGGCTTTCCGTTTCGACTCCGGTAGGATGCCTGTCTTGATCGCTGGCACAGATATTCGCTCATCTCTTGATGCTATGATGTCTCCAGTTGGAGACCAAACCTGTGGGTTAGTATTAATAGGCACAGGTACTCTGAATCTTGATTCATGCTTCTTTGTCACTGGAACCATGCCACCGGGCATGACTGTAGAAGTTGTACCATCTCGAAATCCTAGGAAAGGCTTTGCAGTTCTGTTTGGCACCAAGGGTCTTGATACATTGGATTGGTTATTCATTTGTTGAATATTTTCTTGGTATTCTACATGCTGCTTGAAATTTGCATCCACGTAGCTGGCCTGATCAGGATGCATGTACATTTCCTTTGGACCATAAATATTCTGTGCTTCTGCAGGTTCAAGTTGTGTTGATCTTTCTACATGTAATGCTTTACTTTTCTCTTCATGATCCGACACCATTCGATCCATCCGTTTTCGTCGTTGGTCAAACATCAAAACGCCCTTCCCTTTCGTGTCTGGCAGTGCTTCCATTTCTCGAAGACTGGCCCAATTCAGACTTAGATTGTGTTCCTGGTGATAAACAGAATACTCCTCTTCCAAATCGGACCCACTTGAAGCCTCCAAGTTATACTCAGCGGATCTGACTTCCTCAGTTTCTTCCTCTTTTTGGTCTTCACTGTCAAACTTGTTTTCACCAGTCCCGTAACTCACAAGTGTAAACTTCTCAACTCTCTGGCGACGTTTTTTGAACAGCAAGGCTCCTTTATTCTGAGGGTTGGGTGCATTGGTTAGCAGCAGAGCCAGTCGCTTACATTTAGACTTGTTCTCCTTTACTTCTCTTTCTGACTGGCTCTCGTTGTGACTGAGCCCTGAGTGAAAGAGGGAAAGAAGAAAAAATTGGACGGAGGTAAGAGGGGTGTTAATAAATCTATCGTTAATCAGATATACAGTTTTTTATTTATATGATTTATCAGACAGTCAGTGGAAATTTGAGAAGCTATGGTTTAAAAAAAAAAAATTGGCTTAGTGAACTCAATTAACAATGTGACAATTTGCTAAACACTTGGAGGTGTTTTTCACAGTAGTTTTATTTGATCTTAGTTTTAAGATTAAACCACAAGAGCACCAATACAAAATTTTGAAGTTGCTCCAGCTGAAGTAAGCGCACTAATAAAAGCATCATATTTACTTACAGCTAACTTTGGTGGGTCCATGGGGCAAGTAAAACTATCAGCTCACTTTCCATTGCAGTCTTTCTTACGTTGGAAAAGGGATCAGGTAACAGGCCAGGGTGACACATGCTGGTGTCTGTCAAATTTGTTTCTGCCAGCCTCATCATATGGTCATATTTTATTCTTATCCTGCTCTGACTATTAAAGCCATGGGAATTCTCCCTGCAAGTCCACCTAAAATAGACCCCATGTTACAGAATGAAAATAACCCACACATGTTGCTTTGCATAAAATTATTGATGGATTAAATGAGGTCTCCAGCTTTATACAACACCTATAATACTGACAAGTAGAACATTTAATTTAAGGTTAAAATCAAAAGTGAATTCCTGCCTGGCACTGAATTTAAAAATATTCTAAGTAAGTTATGCATTGTATACAGTTTGAAAACATGTATTCTGTACAGTCTGCTCTACAAGCTTCACACATCTTCTTAAATATACCTAGTGAAGGTAGAAGAAAGATACTTACGTGTGTGCCTTGCCCTGTGCCTGTCCGGTCTGCACAGATCTGTGTCAGACTCCGAGTTCCACTTCTCTGCCTGCTCAGCACTCTCGTCTGAAATTCCAAAGAAGACAGAAGCAGGAGGTGCTTCACTGCACCCTCCTTCCTCTGAGAATGCAACCCTTCTGTTCCCAGTCCCTGAGCCCTGCCTATTACTGGCTCCCAAGGGCTGTTCTGCGGTCAGGGTCAAGGCCAGGGTCATATCAGCAGTGCAGCCAATAGAGGAGGAAGATGAGTGGGAATGTGGCCGTGATATCTTGCCAGATTGTAGCTCAGAGTCAGGACGCTGTGGATGTGGGGATAGTGATGTTGGTGAGCTTTGGATGTGAGGAGACTCTGTAATGGATTCTCTCGACTCACTAAGGTAGACGTCATCCTCTTCTTGGTATGAGACATCCTCTTCACTACCGCTGAGTTCAGGTGGGTACTGCGGCTCACCTGCAGATTCCCAGTCTTTTGATTGATGGCGTTCTGGGGACTCGTCGTCAGACACTTGGGTGTGAGAAGACTGAGGGTCTGATTGGTACTCTGCATCACTGGCATCATCTTCATAGTAGGACTCTGCCAAGGTCTCAGACACGCAGAGTTCCTGGGAACCATCTGAACCTGACCAAGGGACCAAGTTATGTTTGCTGTCAGGGTCCTCAGCTTCTGGGTCCATCTAGAATGTTGTCTCACAATGTCGTAGGTGTCATCAGTAATACCTTTGTTAAGACAAAGACAAACAACTTCAGCTTTAAATGTCCTTTCATTTTCCGCATGGATAATTAAACAATTACACACTTGCAATTATGACTCTCACTCCTTCTAATCCAAAGATTTCAGCATTCGTGCACTTTGTAATATATCTAGCTATCATGCAATTGTCGAAGTTATTCCTATCCCCAATAGGGAGTGCATCTTTCTTTTGGCAGTTGCATCGGGGCAGCCATCGCTCTAAATGGAATGGTATGTAATATCCAGGGGGGGAAACAGCATTCACATCCAACAGCATAAGCAAAACAATGGCATGGCTGTTTTTCCGAACTTCTGTTTATACAGCAGAGTTTTTCCTGTCTCACATCTTTCACAGCAACAAATATCAGCACTGCAGTGGCTGTCAGCATTTCCATTTAAGAACTAAATCTGAGTGACTGTGCATAGTAGAAATACTGGGCCTCTTACTCCCTCACATAAAGCCAAATTAGTTTCTCTATTATTTTGCCAATGAACTATTGAATCAAAATAAATTACATAAAGTGTCTTAAGAGATAAAATTATAACGTAGAGTTTAAATAAAATGCTTTTCCCTCCAGACATTAATTTTGACTGAAACTAACATTAAATTCAGTGTAGCTCCTCACACACTTTTCAGCTTGATTTATAGATCCATCCATCCATCTATCCATTATCTATACCACTTTTTCCCCTCTGGGGTCGTGGGGGGCTGGAGCCAATCCCAGCTGTCATTAGGCGAGAGGCCAGGTACACCCTGGACTGTGTGCCAGTCAATCACAGTGCTGACATATAGAGACAGACACGCAGCCACATTCACATCTATGGACAATTTAGAATCACCAATTAACCCAACGAGCATGTCTCTGGGGGGAACCCATGCATGCACAGGGAGAACATGCAAACAGAAAACTGCACCACCCTGGTTTATAAATATGAACTGAAAATAGTGCCCTCATAACCTAACATGGAACAGTAAAATTCAGGATCAACATTCTTTTGTTATGTTTTATATCAACACCTGTACTATATGAACAATAAGAACAAGCTTCCAGATCAAAGGATCTTGAAGCAGTCTTCTGCATCAAATGGACTTTTGACTTCTACAAACACACGCCTTTTACTCTCAAACACATTTCCAGACTTCCCCCAGAAGGTGGTGCCACAGTACTCTGTACCACCATGAGAAGACGCCTCTGGCTGCTAACCAGATTAAAAAAGGACAATCAATGAGTTATAAAAGGTTCATATTTAAAGGTCTTTCCTCATCTGATTTGAAACTATTTATAACATATCTATTAATTTCATTGTCAGCATGTGATTAACAGATTATATCTGTAAGAAAAAAAGGTCAGAGGTTGTTTTGTGCATTAGTTTTTCACTGTGCACAATCAAATAATCATGAGGACTTTGGACTTTTTTAACAGGGAGGAAATAAAAAAAACAAAGATATGTTTTCAGAAGGGCTCAGGGCAAAGCCAACCATCAATGACTTGTAAAATACATGTAATATTTAACTCACTGCATTCAGAGAAACTAGGTATGCCTAAATCCAAACCAGAAAATTACAGAAATCAATCATGCCAGCAGCATTAATTAGATGTAAACTAAACACAAATAATGGAAGAACAACCGAATGATTTAGCTACTTATGGATCCATAAAATAAGTTAAGATGAGAGGGAACGGGTTTGTCCACAGGGTGGCGCTATTAGGGAATTAAATCATTAAATCAGAACAAATTGTCCCAATTAGAGTTTGAACTCTAACAGCAGATTTAAAATGACATAACATCTACTGTTGGATGACGACTAGATCAGCCTAAAAGGGGCTCTGATTTTCTTTTTGTTCACAGACTTAAAGGAACAATGTGATCACAGAGTGATACTATTGCATCTTGAAAGTTGTCCTGTGTGTGTTATATTGCATGCCACTCGTAATTTTTATAGAAACATTTGTTTGACATCATTTTTATTTAAATGAAAGATTAATCTTAAAATCTGTGTCGGAATGGAAACTGCCATTTTGATTGATTAGCAAAAAAGGGATAAGTAATTTTCTTTTGGTTAAAGATCTAAAGTTATCCTACAGCTTGGTACTTTTCAAAACAATCAATCATAAAAATATCCGAGACTGTATAATTTATAATCACATAAGTATCAAAGTATAAAGAATTTAGACAACCTTGGCCCACCAAGTTTGTTTTCTCTGCCCTTCCTGTCATGTACTGTCTGCTGTCTTTGTAACCTTAACAATACGGCTGCAGTATGATATTTTGGTCTCATACGTTTGATGCACTAAGTTAAATCCATTGTAATTGGATATTTAGATATTGCAGCCATTGTGTAACTTTATACTCGTGCAGTTGATGCAAACTTTTTTTGTAGCACATGGCTAACTTTTATGTTTGTGCAGCAAAACTGGATAGAAAGTTGTTGAATCCTCGGACAAACTGCTCTAGACTACATGACGTATGATGCATTTTGACCACACAAAGGTCCTGTGACACTTACAGCCGCAGGATCACTAAAATGGTACCAACTCTTGGACACTGTGTCCAATGCCCACGCTTCCCTTCACACTTGGTTCCACTTACTCAACCATCATTAAGCCTTACTTTGGAGCTACTAGAGTCTTTGTTTCCTTTTTTGGCAGTAAATGTCAGGATGTTGATTCGTTGCTATGGAAACAGGAAGTCAGCATCCCTGACAAAAGAGTGAACTCTTGGTCTGTGGGATGACCCCCGCGAGGATCAGATGTTTCCATGTTCAGCATCATTATAGAGTCGGTGTTTTTCACCGGTAATGAGAAACACTCAGGTTTAGTCTTAAAGAAAGAAATAATGTCATCATAAAGTTAAGACAAATCTCAACCCAGACAAATGTCACAATCAATACAACTATAAACAAGATTTTACATAAATAAACCTTAATTAAAAAGCTGCAGCAGAAACTAGAGTTATAGCCTTCTATGTAAAAAAAATCAATAAAAAAAAAATCGTCAATAGTGATGCTAAGGACACTTAAGACGCTTTCTTTATTTCTATACAAAGACACATATTAAAGCTTATGGCAGGCAGACTTTGAGGAAACCAGAATGCATAAAACTTACAACAGCAGGATGAATGAAACAAGGATATCATCTCAGATACAAAACTTTAGATTAAGAACATTTTCACTCTCAGGAAAAAATCCACTACTCACAGTTTTTTTTATCCCTGAACCAAGCGAAGGAAAAGAAATCCAAAAAGATGCTTCAATAGTTGATATCCAGCCTTAGAGACTTCCCCTCCTGCTTGCTGATGTTCAGGTTACCTTTCACTTTGCACATTGTGCAGCATTACTCGTTCGTGTGTGCTACTGTATTTAAAGAGAGAGAAGAAGAGGTGTTCCTGACCCTAACCCCCCCTTCAGACACAGCTCGGTAAGCATCAGGCAGCTGCAGCTCGGTGACATCATGAACGTGTCCTTAGCAAACTTTGAAGACATTTTTAGAGGGATTTGAGGAATGCATCATGCTTGGTATTAAAACAGAGACGTACTTTTAGATATATTTTCCATGTTTAATTACTCAGAGAAATACAGACAAATTAAAAAGATCAACTCAGTTATACCTTTCAGTATTTCACTCCACCTCACTGTTGAGTGTCAATAACCGCTGTCTCATTTGGGTCAGATCGTGATTTTGAAATATGGATAATAAATTAAATGCTAAAGTAGCACATAAGAAAGCTGCTGTACAGTAAATAGATGGGGTAAGGCTGCTGTTCACCGTGACAGGATGCCCATATATGGAACTAAATCTGAGCTGAAAATGGGGGTTTTGAAGAAGTACAATGGAGAAACTTACCTTCTGTAACCAATACCCATGAATTACTAATTTCTTTAAGATAACATTTAAAATCACATTCTTAGTGTCCCCCTCCCCTATAAAGGTGAAGATGCCTTTACTCAAGGCTTAAAGCTTGCTTAAAGTTAATGCAAGCGGTAGCTACTCCTCTAAATATTTTTTTCCTGTCTTTGTTGATTCCATGATCGATGTATGCCCTCAGGAATGATTGTAACAGGTATTGATCTTAAACCTGGTCTGTCCCTTGGGCAGATTTAAAACATACAGAGCATGTTACACTGATGACAACCTGAACTTCTCAATGCTTTAACAACCCCGGGTTGCTGACATGTTCAGTCAGTCTGTGTATTCATTGACACCTAAAGTCTCAATCTTACGCAAGCATGGCCTCTACATTTAGTGTTAATTCATTACAATTTACATTTAGACACAGATTAGACAGTAAACTGTGCAGTACTTTTCATAGACATACACAACTCAACAGTCATGGTGGTTACAAATGTCACATTACATCCTCAGGGTTCAGATCTCAGTTGTTTGCACACAGATTTTTGATGTCCATGTTTTTCATATTGCAAACTTTTTTGCAATCCAGCAGTCTGAACCTTTTCCATATTCTTCATGGTATAATGTGCCTGTTAGACTAAGTATACTGTTTAATGCTTATATTCTTACATTATTATTAACTGTGGACGTTTCTTTGGTTCCATTTTAACAAAATGAGAATATGCACTATTACATGTAAAAATATAAGACCACCATTTTTATTCTGTCAACTTTTAAAAAGGACAAATCATCCAGTTGAAATGTGGCCATCTCTAAAAGAGACATAACTTGTTTACAATCCCGAAAAAAAAGAAGATTGAGCTATTTTGTAAACTATAATGTAATGATTTGCAAAAACACTGAAACCCCATATTTGATTGAAAATAGCACAAAGAAACTTTATCAAATGTTGAAATTTAGAAATGTTATTGATTTTGGACAATGATAAGCCCCATTGGAATTTGATGTCAACAACATTTAAAAAAAAAAAAGTTGGGTCAATGGCAACAAAAGGCTGGAAAGCTTGTGAAATGCTTAACAAACACCTGAGGGAAGATCTCACAGTTAA